ATATGAGAAACTCAGGATAGCAGATGAAAAACGCAGATATTTAAAAACGTCACGCACGTTAGCATATTGAAAATTAGCTGAGAAACCTTAAATGCATAAATTCATGAAATATCGACAAACGATTTTTTCGTCATATGCGACAGTTTGAGAGACTTAAATCTATTTTATAGTCTGTATTACAAAAGTAACTGTTGATTTCATCAAAAACGTCACGCACGTTAGATTTTTTACATTTTGCTGTGTTATTTCGTAATTTCCACTTAAACTATCTTTTAAAGGCAATTTTCTGGAACAATGTTCGTTGTTTGTCCCAAAAAATCAAAAATTGATTGAAATATCAACCGTTTTAATTTTTCGGAGAAAGTGACGAACTTTTGAAAAAGACCCACATACTAAATGGCGACAATGACATACATATGCATCATCACGCGAGGATGGATGATGAACATTTACTTTACATCTGCACGTTGTCAATATCTATATCGCCGGTTGATGTCTTATGTTCTCAAAATAATAGTAATAATGTTCAAAAACAGAATATGATGTGTATTGTTGTCTTGCATCATTATAGGAGTAGTAATTTGATTAGACTTGAAAAACAGACGTAGACTTCGACAGTGCAAGGGGGGGGGGGACTATAATGTAGTAACTTTTGGTTTTGTAAAATAGCTGAAATAGTTTGTGACAAATATTAAATACGCAAAAATAGGCAGGTTTAAGAAATGAGACTAGAGGCAAAGAATAATTATAATCATAAAATCTAAAGTAATTCCTCGATGATCTCTTCTGTAATCAAGGTGGTTTTGGTACACTTCCGCAGTTATAAAAACAAAGACATAGACTAAGTAATTAATAACTAAGTAATTAATAAATCTCAAATAAGCCCCGATTCATCTGCCAGCGCCCTGCCGATTGAGTATTTTGTTCAGAAATGAATGCAATTCTGAACAAAAATAGAGCAATGACCTGATCGCATAGATGGGCAATATTCTAACCATTGGAATTTACAACGGACATGTAACGGTCTATCGGAGACGTTCTAAGAGAAGATTTAAAACTTTAGATCCTTGTAATAATAGATGTAACACACATGTATAAAGATTCCTGAATTATGTTTTTGCTATTGCCCCGAACCGGTCCGTCTTCTCGCTGCAAGCAGGAGGAAATTCTTTGTCACAAAGTTTGGCATTTTTTATAAAATCAAACGCGCGTCATTGAAACTCACAATATGTAAATAGCATGTCAGTTACATCATACCTTGATGGGGAAAAATAGATCTTATATGTTAGAAGTACTAAATAAAAGTAATCGTGAAAATGAGAGAAAAGAGCATAAATGCGCATTTCGAGAGTTTTGGTCCGTTTAAAAATCTGTAAAAAATTGGGGTACTTAAAAGCATCGGGAGGCATCATATATTTCAAATTAGACACGAGGAAGTCAATATTGAGCAAGTTATGGCTGTTTTAAATTCAAATAAAGCCGTTAACCCGTACCGGTCCAGCTTTTGACCCGTGCCGGTCAATTTTCGTTAGCTGCGTATACCAAGGGTGATACATTATCCCAAAAGAAATACAGAAAATATCTTAGTAAATACCCGTCCTAATGACATAAACCATGGGCTTTCAAGAGAATCTTTTGATAGCCCATGTCTAAACATAGACAAAGATTAAACTTCAGTCCTGATTCCGCCAAATTAAATTGCCGCCAATATTTGAAATTGAGCAAATTCGTCAAATTAAGTAGCGTGAAAATAAGTGTATCTAAAGTATCTGTAAGGGGGGGGGGGGCTCAAGGCATAAAGATTACCGGGAGATACAAACCGGAGAAATAGATGAGATGATGAATATGTATTGTATGTTTTCCAGTTTTAATTATGTTGTTTGTTATTGGTCCTAATATGATTAGGGACCACCAATATGTATGTGACAGTTTTGAAGTTCAAAAAACGGGTAAAATTGGTTAAAGTAAATTGTATATGATAATCAGAGCCGGGATTCAGAGATACACAACTAAAATAACGAGGAATTAAAAATAGCCTATAGACTATGTAGACTGCAATCATGGACTCACTTGAAAGCCCATGCTGTAATCAAGGTAATTTAGGGATATCCCGTCTTTGAAGAAGCAAAACGCAATCAAACAGTTAATTAGTTATTGTGTGATCTAGATTACAGATCAAAGAAATCAATTCCAAGATCATTATTACTATGTATTTAGTTCGTTGTATTTTTGAAAAGGGGTACAAGAAAACGATGTATTAATATATCAAGGGCAGGGTGCTCCTGAATCTGATAGTTAAAGTGTATGCTAGTATGAGGGGCGACGTTTAAAGTAAAGCATTGTTTTAAATCCTGGGAAAATGCACTCCTCCATTTTGCAAATATTGTGTGATGCCAATGAACCCTGAAATTTGTTTTTGTTTTCGCGAGCAATCAGCAAATATGTTTATGAAAATCTTGCGAGTCCAGACATATGATTCTCATTCTGTCTCAGCTTAGTGTTGATTAGATTTTATCCCCACTCTTCCGACGTCGTGTCTCTCTCATTTTACCCTATATTCAGTTTCTTTTTAAACCAACTTTACAAATATCCGTTCACATATATAAATCAGTAGTTGTTTATGACAAGATTATTTTCATAGATTATCAAAAATTAAGGTAGCGTATTCTGTAATTTCAACTATATGTTAGCCCCCCCCTCCCCTTCGCCGACAGTAATGTATTGTTTAAAATAATACTGCATCCACCGGCCAATTATTCTTTCATCATTTTGAGCAGTTTTCGTGTGATTTTGAACAAATATCAAATGTGACCCCACCCCTGGAATAAGTTAGCCCCCCCTCGCCGACAGAGATGTCTAGTTTAAAATAATACTGTATCCCCTGGCCAATAATTCTTTCACCATTTTGAGCAGTTTTCGTGTAATTTTTGAGCAAATATCAAATGTGACCTCACCCCTGGAATAATTCAAAAGTCATCCCCTTAGCAAATGCTGGATTTGGCCCTGGTACTTGTCAATGCGAAATAATGGGTGTTGATTAGTGGAAATGCCCATTTAAACAGACCTTCTTAATTTATAACAAGTTAACAATTAAGAAGCCATGTTGCGATGTACTTTTCGTGACTCAAGTCGGATATAAAGTGAAAACATACTCTTTTTGATTTGATATCCCGTATTTAGCTAAAGCAAAACATGAAATATTAACACGTGCGGTAAATTATCATTTAAATGTTTCCATATATAGCGCAAAATCTCACATGGCAAATTTAATAACGACTAATTTTGTCTTGTGTCTAACCACGGCGTGCTTAGAGATTTCTAGACTCTAGTCACGCTCTGTCCACGCCAGCTCTAAGCACGTCTAAGTACGCCTAGAAATCTCTAGATACACGGAGTTCCTAGACCGACTAAGCACGTCTAGAAATTACTAGGAATTCCACATTTGATGCAGTGTTACACGTAAAAGTGGTGTTTTGTTTGTTATATTGATGTTGAAATGGGCACAACATTTCGTCAATATTTTCGTCAGTTCTCCGCACCGAATATTAATTGAGCTACTGATTCTACTACACAATAATCTTGCCGGGATCTATGGAAATATAGTGGACATTAAATACGATTTTTTAATTTGTTGAACTGACCGAATGTAGTCTGTACAAAATATGCAGCCGAGACTCCTCGATATTCTACGAGATCACGAACAGATTGCAGCATTCTCAAAATTCATTTCGTTCGTTGCGTACCTTCACTACCAGGTAAGGAACATGGTGACAGGTCATCTCAACCCCAAGTCATCTCATCCCAGTCCAACTCAACCCCAGTAAAACTCAACCCAAAGTCAACTCAACCCTGTAAAACTCAACCCCAGTAAAACTCAACCCAATGTCTAATTTAATTTTTTTATGATGAATAATTACAGTCATTTATTTCTGAAAATCTAGCATTTTGCATGAAACTTGAATAGAAAGTTGTAAAAGTATTCCAAAAAAATGGTTAAGCTCAAGGATGATTCATCAAGTTGTCACTATTATTTAATTTAAGACATCTTTTGAAATCATATTTTAGATAATTTAGAAATAATTAACAATGTAATATAACTTTTTATCTATATGAACATGCATTAACAAAATCATTAACATTTACTAATTAATAGACTGAAAACATATAGGCGTAGCCAGGAGGGGAGCGCACACACCATCCCCCCAATTTTGAAGGAAGTTGCATCATTTTTTTGTCAAAACATATCTTTTTTGGCTCGCTTATGCCTTTATTGGCAACCCCTGACTGTAAACCTGATTTTTTGGGCGATCGCATCCCTCCTGACTGAAAGCGGGCTACGCCCCTGGAAAGCAATGGTCATGTTCCAGTTTTCCAAATAATCGCGAGTGTCAACCTCATAGGGATTACAACAAAACAAATGTATTAGCAAGATTAATAAAGTGACCCATATCTTAATCCTATTAGTACCATGTTGAGATTTTGGAGATAAACTCATTATTAACTATAATCTAAAAAGGCAGTGGTCTAAGAATGAAAATCACAAACTGAATAATCATAATTATTTTTATGAAATAAACTTTCTTATAAGTTTATCAATATTTAGAAATATAGGGGTTGAGTTTTACAGGGTTGAGTTGACTTGGGGTTGAGTTTTACTGGGTTGAGTTGACTTTGGGTTGAGTTTTACTGGGTTGAGTTGGCTTGGGGTTGAGTTTTACTGGGGTTGACTTGACTTGGGGTTGAGTTTTACTGGGTTGAGTTGACTTGGGGTTGAGATGACCAGGAAGCAGGCACAGGAGGTACGGATGGCACTGGACGAAAGGCTCGGAGACTGATAACCGAACGGGAAGTTTTTGAATAGGACTACATGATCTGAAGGGATGCGAGGATTCGATGGGCTGGGATTTGAGAAATAATGATTTGAACTTTGTCAATTTTACATGTATTCCAATGCGTGAAAAAGTAAGTTGCTTTCTACCATTGCCCTTAGTGGGGGTTGTAGTGAAGGTACGCAACGAACGAAATGAATTTTGAGAATGTCTTGCGGAGTGCAATCAAAATCAATGACGTCATTAAAAAAGGGAAAATGGCAGCGCGCATGAATAACGTGTTTGTCGGTGCAGAAACGGGTATTCTGAAAGGTATGCAGTCACTTTGGCCAGTATTATAATATGATAGTGTTAGTGTATGTGGCAAGGTTAATTTGGAAGTCTAATTTAATCTAGACTCATGCACTCCATCAAATTAATAATTTTGATTTTTTGGAAAAATTATTAGATTTTAGCACAGGATCTTGTAGCACGTTTATGATGACTGATATGGGGCTGCCTGATATGGGGCTTTATAGAGAGAGAAGGATTATAACGCCGACAAATTTCGAAAACTGGAAGTAAAAAATATATATGAATTATTGGTCAGAATTTTATAATTACAGTTGGGGACAAAAATAAATGACAGGTCGATTTTCGATCACCATTTCCTAATTATGGTGATCTGAAAGCCCATAATTTCCAATATTGTCTAGATACATATCCCTTAAAATTTGTATATTTTACATTTTGTATAATCTCATCCACTGATTTATGGCCTCTTGTAAATTCTCTTATTTTTAACATGGGAAATCCTCACTTCAGCAAATCCACCTGTCATTTATTTATGTCCCCAACTGTAGGGTCTCATTTTGAAAAAAAATCTTTCTTCTGTAAGATAATGTCACTGCCTAACATTTAGATAAATTTAAATAAAAAAGTTTCTTTACTTTCTGATACCCATGCTAACGACCGTTAGGTGCTATACAACCAAAACTCACCTTTATAGCGATTTCTCCCCAAATCTTTCGCCAATTAACTTGTCCTTTACTCATAGAATCATTGACCCCTCTAGAGATTTGTAGGGATGCTGCGCTTATGCTGTTCAGCCTGTAAAAATATGTTATTTTGCCGTTTTAAAAATGAAATGTGAAAGGTCAGACGGGTCAAGTTCACTACGTCATTATTTCAAGATAGCGGCAGAGAATCGTCAAACAGTCGTATTTTAAAAATTAGTATGCTTTTACACATTTTTGAACAATAATAGTACAATTGGAACAGCGTATACCATTGCGTATGTGTGTATTACAACTGGATCAAACCAGAGATCAATCGACGAAACATTGAGGGAGAAATCGATCGATAAGGTTTAAACTATGAAAAATATGTCTGTATAGGACTGCATGGTCTGATGCTAAGGTAACAGATAAGACGAAAAAATCATATTTGCAGCGTGTCTACAAGTAATATAATGACATGTATGTTGCCGCTAAATAATTTTTCTTAAAAATGAGACCCTTATTGTGGAATTCTGAACAAAAGTTTTTTTTATTTTTTCATTTACAGAACCCGGAAGTATTGAAGTGTTATTTCCCTTATTACTTCTTATACTATAGGGCCTATCATAGTGCTACATGTCTCTGTAGATTTTAGGTAGAGTCAGTACGTCTATTTCCAAACACCCCCATCAAAAAATGTAGTTAGCTTGGCTGTACTGCACATATATGCTATGATTCTATATATATTATGTGTATTATCCACTGTAGAATGCATTTGCAGAAAAAATAACGAAAAATTGTAAAAAATATCTAGGTTAGAAATCTATTCCATTTTTACTACAAGGTATTTTAGGGGGGTAATTCCGAACAGGAGTTTTTTTTTGGGGGGTAAATCCGAACACTTGCATGGGGGTAATTCCAAACACTTAACTTAAACTTAATTGTTTTAATTATAAGATTGATGGTATTAAACAAATACTGGATGATCAGGAGCTGGATATGGCAGAATACCTATTCGAGAAAAAATATTGGGCGAGGCGGCAGCCGAGCCCAATATTTTTTCGAGGATAGGTATTCTGGCCATATCCAGCTCCTGATCATCCAGTATTTGTTTTATTATGCACCTCCCAATCAAAGTTAAGTGGAGTACTTACTGGAGTACAGGCTTAAACTGTCGTTTAGTTGACATTATTTTGACATTTATTTATTTTTTCTTTCAAAACTCAGACGACTTCCGGCCAGTTTTCGAAAATATTTGCCCCGGGAATTTAATTTTTATTTATTCGAGACGTTCTTGCAGAATTATATGTAACTTTTGAATGATAATGGTAATTGTGATTGATTAAGTACATTTTTTTCTTCTGTTTCCGCCAGTTTCAGATGTAAGCTTTAAGTAGTACTCCAGTTATTAAGAAATAAAACTCTGAAGTGGGAATGTTGCAAAAACATTGAAAAAAATATCCGACCCTTTTTCTCGAAAGGGTCAGATATTAAAAAAATATCCGGCAGTTTTCAGAAAAGAGCAGAGTATTGCCAAATTACAAGCAACTAAGAACCAATCAGATTTGAGTATTTTAATGAGGTGCATAATAAATCATTATATGATACCCTTAACTTATGATACTGGATCCTGTCACCCCTGCATATAAATATTATGTAGAGGTAGTAGAGGTACTATTATTCAATTCAATGATCTGCTTGCCATTATTTGGAACCCGTTCGTGTTTACCCCCCTGTTTGGATTTGGACGTATTGACTCTAGATCTACAACTGGAAAGTTACATTTTGGTAAAAATTGCTATACCAGCATATGTTATTTTCTGGTACAAAATAAAATATGAAGACATGTGTCAATTGCCTTGCTTTTTTCAGGAAAGGCAGTGCCTGGATACCCACACAAATGTGAGGTTATTTTGAGGTTTTTTATTATTTTTGACATTTTTTTCTCAATATAGCATTATGATAGCCAATTCTCCTAGAGAGCCTTAAAGGAATTCCAGGCGACAGAAATGACGAAATATTGCTTCTGGGACAAGATCAAATGACTTTGACATATTCTATACCCAACCTATTTTGTAATTTAACAATCAGCACAAATATACATACCATATTAGCAGATATTGGACAAATTCAAAAATAAATATTTTTTGATTGATAAAATCACAGATTATTAAACCGGAAGTGTCTTCTCTGAGGTCCGCGAAGTAGATGAAGAAGAAAACAAAGATTTCAGTCAATTCAATTTTGCCGTCGATTAAATTTTAAATGGTTCTAAATAATCTTTGAATGCTAAACTTTGGCTTCTATTAGTGCTGTTTTGACTTCCCCACTTCATAAACAGAACATTATCACTTTTTACTCGACTCATAAATGTACTTCCGGGGCGGTGAATTCGTACGATCCGCGATCCGATCCGGATAAATTTCGTCATGGTAATGATGCATTGTGGGATTAATCCAAGAATTAATCCAAAAATCTGTGAATTCGTACGATCCTGGGATTAATCTCAGGATAAATCTCAGGATAAATCTCAATCCACCACTTGAGGTGGATTACTTTTTGGATAAATTTTATCCGAATTCAAATGCAAATTGAATAAATCTTGAGGATTCCCCCTCATAATCCTCGGATCGTACGAATTCACCAAATATTTATCGGATAAGTAATCCAAGATTTATCCCAGAAGATAAAATTTATCCGGATTGGATTGGGGATCGTACGAATTCACGGCCCCCGGTCTACCGAGAAAAATAAAAGTTCTTAAAAGGAATGTTATAAAAACCCTTCGACCTTCGACCTGCACCTTCGACCTACACCTTCGACCTTCACCTTCGACCTACACCTTCGACCTTCACGGTGTCCAAAAAGAAAATATTATAGAAGCTATTTTTGCCGATCTCAGACCACGCAAAAGTCCTATTTTCTTTCGAAACTATATAATATTTCCATACAAGGATTTCCATATAAGTCATATAATTGTAAACACCTATATAAGTAGGCCTATTAGGAAATACAGTTCGCGAGTGCGAAAAATTTGAGGTGTCCAAACTTTGATTATATGCAATAACATTTAAACCAAGGTGTTCAAAATGTGACCAAGGTATTCAGATTTGGACCAAGGTGTCCAAAATTTGAACAAAGGTGTTCAACATTTGCAAGTCACTCATGTTAGGTGTTCCCAAGTTGACAGGCCTGTGTATGGGGACGTGCCGCTAAAGTGGGTCACTTTTTCACCGGAAAATCCCTAGATGTGGATCCCATTTTGAAGAAAAAACACTAGATATGAGTCCCATTTTGATGAAAAATCCCTAAAACTGGGTCTACTCTTTGAAAAATCCTAAAACTGTATGGGTACTGTTTTTGAAAAAATCGCCGGAAGTGGGTCTTGTATTTTAAAAATTAATTGGGTAGGTATTTTGAGTCTCACCGGCACTACCCTGCGTGCAGAGTGTAGTTTAACTAGACGAAGCTCTCTTTTAAGAAGTGAAGTCAAACGAATGCAAAGGGTACACCGGCACCCCCCCTGTAAAAAAAATTTGACCAGTACCCCCCCCCCCCCCCTGGCCAGTGGGAGCTTTTTGACAGTGTTGGCTAAAAATCTGCATGTGTTTGAGAATTTCTAGCCTGGGGGGGGGGGGTTAAGTAGACTATCTTCTTGTTCACCAAGGTGTCGCTCCAGTGAAAAGAAAAAATCTTCAAAAAATCATAGAGCTCGAATCAAATTTAATTTACCGTCATACTTAGTAATTGGTTAAACAGACTAATTTTAATAGATACACAGATGGAATGCCTTCTCTTTCGCAGCCGTAGAAATATTATATACATGATCCCATCGATATTAGTATCTGTAATTTAAAAATATATCACCATTGTCGTAAGAGTGAGCATGGTATATCCTTAAAATTTTGAAGTGATTTCGTGTTAATTCTGTCATTGGTCTGCCATTTTTGCGGAAGTTACACTGAAACGCAAAATCCATGAAACGAAAACGAAATCACTAGAAAAAACCATGGTACACATTGTGCGCATGTGCAGCAAAGTTTAAACCAATCAGATTATTTAACCACAAAAAACAAACATGGCAGAGACTACCCTTACTTCATTTTAGCAAAATTTAAGCTCAAACTCTTGCAAATGCATTATGCATACGCTGGTATGAAGCCTTGGAGACACTCATTTTGGTAAATATGATTTAAGGTGTATACTTTTCTGCAGTTTGTGGGAGTTTGGGACATTAAATGTTAAAATTCAAGAAAATATGCCAATTATACGACTTATCAGTTAATTTGTATCAGCAGACTATAACTACTGTCTGTTAGGTACAGCTGGAAAATAACATTTTGGTAAAAAATTGCTATACCTGCACATGTTATTTTCTGGTACACTTAAGTATGAAGGCATGTGCTAATTTCCTTGCTTTTTTTCAGGAAAGTATTATTACATTGTCTTGTTTAAGGATGCAGTAATGGGTCAGCGTAACTTAAGTTCCAGACGTTAGATTTTGCTCATATTTTTTACAATTTATCAGTTTGATATTATCATCATTCATCCAAGTGCAATATGAAGAGGATTGACAGTCTGGTTATTTCAATATAAAATTTTCTTTTACCCACCCAAAATGTTCCTTTTTACATGTAAATCTATCAGAAAGTAACATAATCTGCTACCCTAATATGAAAATCATCCCATGTGGACATTTTATGAATATAATTTGTTACGCAAGATTAAAGTTAACGATAAGTCTTTTTTGTCCTATTTTTTGTTACCATGCACCATTTTTATGTCCCTGCCACATAGTGTGGGGCCATATTGTCGGCCTAGGCGCGTTTGTCTGTCTGTCTGTCCGTCCGTCCGTCCGTCCGTCGTACGTACGGCAGTTTTCTCCAAAACCGCTACAGATATCCCCTTCAAATTTTCAGGGGTAACTTATGAGTGCATACAGATGTGGATGAATTTTTTTAACTCGATATCTACTTCCTGTCAGGCAATTTTGAAGTCAAATGCTAAAATCTTTGTCTGTAAACTTTTGAATGTCTGAAGAAAAGTTAGCGCGTGATAATACTTTGTATCATATTGAATGGTGTTTTTGAGTTTTCATACTTTAACTATTTAGTAGCATTATAAATAATTTCAGGTGTACCTTCTTGTAAAAGCCTATGTTATTGTTAACAGTAGGTATATGTGATAATTTTGTAAAAAGAAATTAGGAAAAACTCATAATCACTTTTTTATTGTCAGCCATTTTGGATTTTTCCATCCTAAAATCTTGTCTGTAAGTCTTGTCTACGCGTTTCCAGGTGAACCGTTTGGTAGATCAATTTCAAATTTTCAAGGATGATTCTTAGTATGAAAATCTAGATCTGATTATATTTTCGGCGTTCTGGGTAAATGTGAAGGCAGCCATTTGGGATTTTCCGTCCTAAAATCTTGTCTGTAAAGTCTTGTCTACGCGTTTCCAGGTGAACTGTTTGGTAGATCAATTTCAAATTTTCAAGGATGATTCCTAGTATGATTAGCATTTTGGCATCAATTTTCAAATTTTCAGGGATGTTTCTTAGTATGAAAATCTAGATCTGATTAGTTTTTGGGCATTCTGGGTAAATGTCAAGGCAGCCATTTTGGATTTTCTATCCTCAAATCTTGTCTGTAAAATCTTGTTTACATGTTTTCTGGTTAACTGTGTGACAGATCAAATTCAAATTTTTAAGGGTGGTTCTTAGTATGAAAATCTAGAACTGACTATTTTTTTGGCATTCTGGGTAAATTTTAAGGTGGCCATTTTGGATTTTCCGTCCTCAAATTGTGTCGGTAAAGTCTTGTCTACTCATTTTTAGGATAACCATTTGACGGGATGACCCATAGGTGATAACAACAAGATCACAATTGCTCGTTTCTAGGTAGCAACAAGATTTTTGATTGAAATGGCACAGAATTGCCCTTATTAAAACCCTTCAAATCAGATTTTCTAAGAATATATTTGGAGAAACAATAAAAGGTAAGTGGAATAAATTAGAAGATGGTTTCAAGTTATTACAGAAGTCAATTTGAAACTCAAAAATGCTTTCTTTGACTCATAATCTCCAAAACGTCGGGTTTCATTGCCATCTAGGTTTAATTATCCCATCAAACAAAGTTCGGAAAGATATAGTAGGGTGTTTCATTTTTGGAATTTTTTTTCTGATCAAGTTGCTATTCATACATTATGATCTATGGTTAGTAGGGACCGCACAAAAATTTCAGCCAAATCGGACATCGTTTGCCTCACCCCCTCAAGCCATCTTTATTTGACACATTTAGCATGAATACATTAGATTCAATTATGAAACATGTTGTAAATTGAAAACTGACATATAAAATAGGTGGAGTCTTATATTCTAGTAATAAATGAATTACAATGTCAAGTGACATTGGAAGATGTCTTAAATGCATTGATTTGCTTTATATTGATACATGTTCCTAATTTTATGCTGCAAAAATATAAAATTGATGACGCCCACTTTCTTATATTTTTCCAGGGGTAGGGCACTATAAAGTGTTATTAAAAATATGAAATAGTACTAAGTCATTATAATAGTTGCATTAAAATATCACAAATAGCAACGAGATGACTTTAGATTACTTGTTTGAGCTGTAAAAGCTGTCATCTTTTGCTTGAAGCTACAAATATAAAATAGATAAGACCAAAAAAAGTGTGTCGTGGATCAAAATTAACACAAAAAGTTTGATATCTCTGGATTCAGTTGTCATAAAATGTTGTATTATGACTTCCTACATAAAATACATAAGAAGGCCTTTCTAAAGAGTCATTATACATCATTTTATGACAACTGAAACCAGAGATATCAAATTTTTTGTGTCAATTTTGATCCACTACACATCTTTTTTTGGTCTCATCTTTTTTTATATTTGTAGCTTCAAGCAAATGATGACAGCTTGTACTGTTCAAAGAAGTATTCTAAAATCATTTCCATGCTACAGGGTGTCCAAAAAAACAGGACCGTAAGAAAGTTGAATAACTCGGTCAATTTTGCATATTTTGCCTTGAAAGGACAGGTGGCGGTAAACCCCTCTTTTAGCCCCCCTACAAAACAAGTATATATTGACATGGAATTGAAGAGGAAGTATGACTCATTACTTAAAATGTGATTTCTGAGAGTTTTGACATTTGACCTTGACACTAGGGTGGTTTAAAGGTCAACTTTGAGAGTTGCTATTTTTGTCAAAATTTTACTGTTTCTAATCCAAGAAATGAGAGCAATTGGCTTTATTTTGATTGTGACTGATAAAAAAACACGTGAATAGAAATTAAAAAAAAAATTAATAAATTATAACGGGCAATTACCTGAAAATCTTGAGAATTAATACCAATATGGGCATTTTTAGGGGGACTAAATTTTCTTGTTTCAAAAATGATTGTTCTTGTTGCCTTTTGAGACTCTAACAGTATCCTAAGCATATTTTAAGAGTTGAGATGTGATTATTATTTTAAATGCCCATGGGCAATTAGGATAAAATGACTGGAATTAAATGCACACAAGGGTACTTCAAAAAGAATGGATTTTCTTATTTCAATTGCTTCTCGCCAGTTTTCTAAACATGTTTGCCATATTCTAAATAGTTATAGGGTCACTTTTACTAAATGCCCATTGGCATTTTGCATTTTATTTGGCATTTGAAATTAAAATGTTTGAATGTACACTTACTTTTAAAGTTATTTGCCAATTTGCAGTTCCCATATTTGATACACAAATAATTCAGAGAAATCCTCTCTCAATATATATCATAAAATATAAGGCAGCATCATGTATGAATGGCATGACACTCAAAGGATTGCCTAAAATAATTTCTACTTATTCCCTATTTAGAAAAACACTTAGGCCATTCAAATATTTTTTTATAATGTCACTAAATTCTATGTTTTCAGAAAAAACAAAATGTCCCCATGTACTCTCTACTTGTAATGTATATAAATGACAAAGGGAATTGTGATCTTGGATTATATTGTAGCGAAATGAGTTCCAAGATTGATTAAACACTACATGACGGTATATAAACTTCATGAACAAGGTCATCTGAACTCAAGAGGTGTGTTACTTGCTTTGGCACAATGTGTTATTGCATTTTCACTCTTAAATAATATATAAAACCCTTTAAATAAATGAAGGTTTTGTAGTTTTTAATATAAGGCTCTTCATCAGAATGCCAACATATAATTAATTTTGAATGGCCTAATCTGTACATGCAGTTATGTAGTGTACATGTATGCCCAGGTTAGCAGCCATATTGAAAACATAAACCAGTCAGGCTTATTTTCATCACAAAAGTTAAGTTTTAGTTGTGAGCCCAAACTCCCACAAAAATGATATTTGCAGAGAAGTTACTTTACAGTCTCTGCATTATACAGTTTCAATATATTTTTTGTGGGAGTGTGGGCTGACGGTTAACTTTTCAATGAAAGGGAATGGGCACCATGCTAAAACTTGATAATAAAGTGAACGAAAAATGACAATGTTTTCTAGATTTGCATAGGTAAACTACATACATCGCTTGATTTTGTCAATTTCCTTCTACAAATACTTGTATGCCATATGTTCCATATATTAAATTCTATGTAATGATAAGTTTTGATATTATTTTGATGGTAAACATAATGTGTACCCATATTCAGACAGCCTTGTGATAGGGGTTCTTACTGCCAATTTTTCAAAGAAATGGAGAACTAATGCCACTTTTTGAAATTGCACATCTCAAGAAGAAAGGTTTATCTACAACTTGCTATCGGTTTTAAAAGTAAATGGAAGAATGAGTTTTTCAGAAAAAGTCTAAGTGGACCAATAGTCTGTTAAATGGACCTGTTCTTTAAGAATTATTTAGTTCATTCAATGAGAATTTTGTTCTGAAAGTTTGATGATAATCTATTTATTGTGTCAAAAACTACAGTCCTTTACAAAACATGCTCAAAGTGGGCACTTCTCCTCTCTATGCACAAACGAATCCTGCGAACAAAGTTGTTAATGACCCTTACCTATACACATTAATGTGGATGGTAAATATTGGGGTAGTTATTGCCCTCTTAAGATTGTTAGGGGCCTGTCAATATACACATTGGCTTTGAGAAATCCTCAAAGATAAAAATTTGGGGGATTAAGATCAGGCAAATGAGCTGCCCATATGGTTTGCGTTCTGCAACTGATGAGCTGACCACCAAAGCATTGCCTAAACCATTTCAGCATATCATTTGCAGTGTTGGGGTGGTATTGGCTTGTTGAAACTACTGCTTAATTACCTCCTTAGATGTCCCTTCTGGTGCTTAGTGACCTCCAAAACTTGGTGAGAACTTGCTGGTCCTTGTTCATGGTGATAGCAAGTCCCAAGTCACCTTCGGACCAAAAGGGACTGATGATTCCATGTTTCCTCATTGCCACCCAGGGAGTGCATTGTTCAGAATGCAATGGATGCTGTAACACTTCATCAGGAGGTTGTAAGCCCCAGTAGCAATTGTTCTTGGAACAAACTTGTCCATTCAGAAAGACATATGTGTAGGAGGATCATCAACAGCTTTGTTCGCCGGATTGAATTGTGCATAGAGATGAGATTTGCACATTTGGGGCATGTTTTGTAAGGAGCTGTAGTTTTTGACTCAATTGGTAGATTATTATCAAACTTTCACAACAAAATTCCCATTGAATGAACTAAATAATTCAAAATATGCAAAATTGACCGAATTATTCAATTTCCTTAGGTCCTGTTTTTTTTGGACACCCTGTATTTCTGATATTTTAATACAACTAATTATGATGATTAAGTACTATTTCATATTTTTAATATGACTTTATAGCGCCCTACCCCTGGAAAAATATGAGAAAGTGGGTGTTTTTTGTGCGGTCCCTACTAACCATAGATCATAATGTATGAATAGCAACTTGATCAGAAAAAAGTCCAAAAATGAAACACCCTAGAGATATAGGGAACGCCTCCGTCTGAGAAAGAAGCCAATGAATGAAGAAACTAATGCAGCAACAACAAATGATGTCCGTCTGTCCTTACGTCCGTCCGTATGTCCGTACATACGTCCATATGTCCGTCCGTGCGTCCGTTTCTCAAATAGTTTCTTATCCAGACCTTTCAGGAAACATTCCAAGAAAACAGTCATGCGGAGTCTCTGTGTCACAGATAATAAGAATATCAAGAGTCTGCAGTGATGAAACAATTGCTTCAAAAATAATCAAGTCCTTGGGGAAAAATTGATATCTCAAGGATATAAGAAAGAAATACTGTCAGCATTTATAAAAAAGACAATTGCTGAAAATAAATGGATACAGATAAAATGTAAAAGCCAAAAAATCAAATATTAAATATATCGTCAGAGTTCTAAATAAGGAAATGAGAAAAACAATAAGAATGAACAGAATTTAGATATAAGTCTCCGAAATGAGGGTAAACTATAGAAGGAAAACAGCAACAAAAACAAACATCGATAAAGACAAAGGGAAAGGGGAGTGTTACCGGTAGAAAAAGCTTAACCCACCGACGTGTAGTCACAAGTCTGCAGACCCGACACCAAACAAGACCAAAGAGGAAAAGTAATAGGGAGAAAAAAGACCCAGAAAGAAGAAACTAAAGAGGACAAGAAAATAACAACAACAGAAATATAGAAGAAGAAACTAAGAAGACAAGAAGTGAAAGAAAAAGACAAATAAAATAAGAAGAAGTAAGAAGGAAACAACAGCAACTACAAATAAATTTTCAAGCTAGACTGAATGAAGATGACATGAACACCATATAAACAAGACGTCCGTCCAGGCAATAACTCAAATATCGTTGGCCTGATTTTGTTCATATTTTGTATACATATACCCTATGGAGCTAGAAGTTCTGCTTGAAAAGCGATTTTCAGAATGGCCACTAATTTAAAAATGGCGGCCATTTTTTTGCCGATTTTACAGTATTTTAGGTTCAGTATGTAAACTGTAATAGCAATATGTTTTAAATATA